CTCACCGTGTTCAAATCACAAAACTCACCTTTCAGAACGGCTTTTAATTTGTTATTAATGCTGTGTTTCATATATGTAATTGTGTCGTTTTAATGATGTTATTTCTACTTTGTAAAGTGTCTTTGAGTTTCCAGAAAAGTGTTCTATGTAGAAAATGCATTATTCGAAGCAATAGCAAATAGTATTTAAAGTCTTGTTAGAATTTGGATAAAATAATGAACACATTTTAGAAACGTTCTGAGTTAAAATCAACCTCCACCTACTTGTTGTACTCGAGCTGCTCCAGGGAGAAAATGTGCTTGTTGAAATATTCCTGCAGCTTCTCGTTTGCATAGTTGATGTTGAACTGCTCGAAGCGGTTCACCTGTTGGGGACAACATTCAATATCAGACATTTTTACTTTAAATGCTTATGTCCATATTTGACTTCTTTATTGCACATTCTTACTTTAAATTATTATATCCATATTTGTCTATTTTGCTTTATTTATCCTTAGATTTATTTGAAATTCGACCCAAAAGAAACTGAGAATTTGGAGTTTCATTCTTGATATTTTGCATTTCTTATCGTACTGTATGCAAATGAGGCATTATGTAATAACTATGGATACAATTAGGATAAATCTACACATGCAAATAGACAAATTAATAAAATAAATGCTTTTTTTGGCAGATTCACCATTATTACACAATAATAGACCCATATTACACCATTATTACTATGTTATTAAACCATTATTACTATGTTATTAAACCATTATTACTCTGTTATTAAACCATTATTACTCTGTTATTACACCATTATTACTAATAAATCCACAGCCCTGTTTTTCTCTCCTTTTCACATCGTCTGTAATAGTTATATCAGGATTTTGTTCACGCACCTCGAAGTTCTCGAAGCCGAAGATGTCGAGGATGCTGATGGACTTGAAGTCCTCTCGTCCTCGGATGCGGGTGTTGAGCTTGCGGATGATCCAGTTGAAACACTGCGAGTAAAGAGCCATGGCCATGGAGTCTCTGGAGTCCACCGCCTGAAGGGGAGAGAAACGGTTAATAAAGGGAGTGCATTTATAACGGTATCTTCCAGTTGTGACGACACTTTAAAGCTCTTTTAGAAATAGCAGCAACATTTACTCATGCACACACACTAACATTCACACACACTCACACACACTGTTGGCCATCGGGAGCAACTTGGGGTTAATCATCTTGCATTATGACAGATTTCAGGGGCTTTCCGTGGACATCACATTTTTATCCAACGCGAAACAAACTCAAAGCAAGAATCCTGCAGGTACATATCAGATCTATAAACCCAACCAGATTAAATGGTAATTGTTCTGTACTTAGACATCTCTTTATCAGGTCTTCTGGACCCCTCAAATCTCTTGACATTCTACGAGTCATTCACGGATTCACACAGAGCAGCACCACTTGCTCTAGGGAAGCTAACACTCACAAACACACACACTCACAAACACTCACACACACTCCCTCACAGCCACAGTCGCCCTGAAGCTTCACTTAAAGCCAAACATGTCTCAGGGCTAAGGTTTTAGCAGAGATTCAGTCGGTGAGTTTTCCGTCTGAACCAAGTTCTAAAGTCTTAAAACCTTCACCAAATGTCCGCCCTGTATTTGGTCTTAAAATAGTCACAATTCCTCACCTGCTCCACGGTGAGAGGGGTGGAGATCTCCTCCCCTCTCAGGATCATGGATCGGTGCGTCAGGACTTCAGCCATCTGATCCGGGTTCAGACCCAGCAGGTCGGAGGTCCGGCTGAGAGCGGCTGAGAGGAAATACAGAACGTCGAGACTTCAGACACGAGTGGACTGGATGCTCATATGTTTTTAGGACAGATGAAAGCAATACAATCTACAATTAAGGTATCGACAAACATCCCTCCCCACCTCCCACCCTTGCCTTTGAAGAACATATAATGTGCAACCGAAGCAACTTGCTGAAGACGAAGCAGGGAAGAGGTTGTAGAAGGGCAACACATAACAAGTCACCTTCAGGATGTCATGTTGCACTATTGGAGGAGCCTGTGTTTTTCATTGACATATCTACACTATAGCTAATGTGCTAATGACAATAAAGCCTTGAAACTTGAAACTTGCAGAATAACTAGTATTGCAATGGCTTTTTAAAAAAAAACAAAATCTGAGGTGATAGTGAAATACAACGAGCTGAAAAGAGGTAACAGATTGAGGAGAATCTCAGACCTGATTTGGCGGAGACCTGCGCTCCTCCGGCCGTCATGAACTCGATGTTTCCTGCTTGGAGGATTCCTGAGAGGAGGCGCAGGATCTCTCCGATGTTCTCCTCCGTGAACTGCATCGTACGCATGGCATTCTGGGTAAAAGACACACAGTAGGAAGTTAATGGAAACCCTGAAATCGCTGCTGAATGACTGTGTTTGTTTTGGACTGAAAGCAGCTGTTCGTTACGTTCTGTGTTCAGAAAAGGATTTGGGGTTTGGATTTAGCAGCGTCACTGGAACTACATGTCTGGGAAATAATTTATTTTAACCCTTTAATGGGCATTGAATATTTAGGGAAATTAATTGATTGCTATTTTCTATATTACACCCATAATACACTGTTATTACACCATTATCGCTCTGTTATTACACCAATGTAACACTCATATTACTCTGTTATTACACCCTTATTACTCTGTTATTACACCCATATTACGCTGTTATTACACCATTATTACTCTGTTATTACATTACATGTCATTTGTTAGACACTTTTATCCAAAGCGACTTGCATACATTCAGTACTGTTATTACACCATTATTACTCTGTTATTACACCCTTATTACTCTGTTATTACACCCTTATTACTCTGTTATTACACACTTATTACTCTGTTATTACACCCTTATTACTCTGTTATTACACCCATATTACGCTGTTATTACACCCCTATTACTCTGTTATTACACCCCTATTACGCTGTTATTACACACTTATTACTCTGTTATTACACACGTATTACTCTGTTATTACACACGTATTACTCTGTTATTACACCCATATTACGCTGTTATTACACCCATATCACACCATTATTACTCTGTTATTACACAATTATTACTCTGTTATTACACAATTATTACTTTGTTATTACACTCATATTACTCTGTTATTACACCCATATTACACATGGACATAGGCTGTCCAACAAATGTATCCCCATGACATTTAAGGGTTAAACTTGTATATGTATTTATGTTTGCATGTGCAGGTAAATATCGATGAAGCGTACCAGAACTTCCTGGAAGGTGGCGTTGTCGTTGATGGTTTTATCGTCGGAGCAGCTGGACTGTCTCAGGTAATGGTAGCTGTCCGGCTGCGTCAACGCAAAGGCCTCTGCAACAACACACACACATAGATGCAGTTATGTTATCCCTGTACAAGAAAAGTACACTTAATAGACTACAGATTTCCTCCAGGTGTGTCTCTCTGACTTCCCAAACAAGAACGAGTTCAATGATTTATTCATCTTGCATTGTGCCTAACTCCAGTGGGATATTTGTAGCTGTGCTGTGAATATAAATAGGTCCAAATGTATGTCAATGACACTTTGTAGACCTTTAAAACGTACGTCAAAGTCATCCAAAGGTTGAAGTGTATTTGAGCAGGACTCACCTTTCTGCTGGGGGTTGGTTCCTGCTAACAGGGCGTAGAAGATGTGGTAGCTCCTCTCCCCGGGGTTCTGCCGGACTACTCGGTTCTGCAGGGAAACAAGAACTTCTGTTAGGTATTTTTATTTTAAATTCAACATGCAGACACAATTTAAAGTGGCACTCCAACCAAAATATATCGTCTGAGCATCAAGCACTAGCAGTTGGTACTGATGTTTGTATTCTCATCCTTACATTACAAGTGTTTGAGAGCACTCTGTTTGAGATAGACTTTGTTTAGATAGATAGATAGATAGATAGATAGATAGATAGATAGATAGATAGATAGATAGATAGATAGATAGATAGATAGATAGATAGATGGATAGATGGATAGATGGATAGATGGATAGATGGATAGATAGATGGATGGATAGATCGTTGAAGTCTACAGGACGTATGACGATATATTTTGAAGTAGTGTGACTTTAAACAAAAGGTGGGTAGCAGGAAGAGACTCACCTTTTCTAAGAGGTCTGTGGTCAGAAAAGTTTCTGTCAAGGCAGATAACACTTTGAGAAATGCATGAATCTACAGTTTGCAAGCTGAACAAGCTATTATCCATTCTGCTGAGTAATGCATGATTAAAAACAGGAGGTACTTTTTATGAGAAAATAATGGTTCCAAAGATGTCAAAAGAAGCAGCCAACAGCAGTTTCTCATCTTCCTGTCACAGTAACCCTAGTTTGTTTGGTAATGATTATATTATGTCACTTTACATTACATTTTATTTAGCTGATGCTTGAACTACTGAAACGTACAATATGTGCAATTAACCATGAAGATATATAAACCTTAAAAAGCAAGAGAGCTGGAGTTATATGAGCTTCAAATGACCATAAAAGGTGCTGGTACATCAGTGTCTGCTTAAAAATCGTATAGTGGATGAATGGAGGTCAATGGCTCCATCATGTCTCAACTACTTCTTTCCTTCCTTCCTTCCTTCCTGTCCGGTATATATTAACCCCGTGAGGACATGTGGAAGAGAGAGCACTCGGCACAGATTTGTTTTGAGGATACAGTCGATGATGCGGCCCCCCTGGATGTTCCCCTTCTGGCTGAAGTGAAGCTGCACGAACTTCCCGAAGCGGCTGGAGTTGTTGTTGTAGACGGTCTTAGCGTTCCCAAACGCCTCCATGATGGGGCTGTGGAGCGGGCAGAGGAGCAGGGATATTAGAGTTTACAGCAGATTAGATATATACTTTATACTTTTCACTGTTCAACACATTTCATTGAGTCCATGCTTTTTTTTTTTATGTCCTGATGTCAATGAAGAGCCAGCAGGTGTGTTTCTGCTGACTCTCAGTGATGCAGCAGCGATCCGATTGGTCGATGCAGAGCGAGGTAATCGTGGTAGAAACTGTAGTATAAATAGCTATATGATAGACATATGACAAGCATGATCATTTCTGACGTGGAGCTAATCTGAAGTAAACATTGATACTGCTTTCTATTCCTCCATCTTGTGACTGTGTAACTCCCTCTCTTGGATATCAGCATGTGAAGGACACTGTTCAGGAACTAGTTGATGCTCTGTATGTGATGACTACTTCCATTCTGGAGAGGATCCTAAATACATGGATCCTGATGTTGAAGCTCAAGCCGGGGACGAGGGAGATTTTCTAACAAAGACTGTTGGCCTTTCGGATGTGACTGGGGAGGGAGTAGTGATGGAGAGTGATAGAGAGTGATAGAGAGTGATAGAGAGTGATGGAGAGTGATAGAGAGTGATAGAGAGGGATAGAGAGTGATAGAGAGTGATAGAGAGGGATAGAGAGTGATATAGAGTGATAGAGAGTGATAGAGAGTGATGGAGAGTGATAGAGAGTG